AACCTGATCACATATAGAACCGATAGACAAAGCAATAAGAAGCAGAAATGGGGGGAAATGGAGCGGTAACTCATAAGACGGTTGGTCGGGTCGTCACATAACATTATTCTATAAGCAGTATAGGCATTTGAAAAAGAATCAAGTCTTTTTATCTGATTGAGTATGACGACTAGAGTATTATCTTCTACTTGTACTATTTCCCAAAATACTTTTAATTTAGAGAATAAGTCTAGACCGTCAATATCGGAGTGACTATTATGTCCTAAAGACATTTCAAGGATAAGGCAATATTTTTTCATATTCTCATCATCTAATGATTTTAATATTTTACCACTAAACAAAAAAACAAAAATACGTTCATATGCTTCGAATTGTTCAAATCTATTTTGAAGCGACAGAATGGCTTGGTCTACTATATATAAAAAGTAATCTACTCTAAAATATTCTTCAAGAGACTTTGTGGTTTCGTTATCAACATTCTTATCAAATTATTTTTTTCTATAGATTACACGTTTTTTACGAAATTCAGATTCTATATTCATCTCAGATGTAATTTTCTTAGCAGAAATCATAGCAGTTGTGAACCATTCTTCTCTATATTTTTGAAAATAAGAAATAAGGCCTCTTAGTTGATGTATGGCTGCATCAATATGCATATCTTTTGATTGTAAACTTTTACTAACTGAATTAACAGCAAACAACATATCATACCAAATGGTCATACCCAATAAAAACTCAAAATTTTGAAGCTCGTATGTCGCTAAATAATTAGCTTCACTTTTAGTTTTTTGATCCTCACTAGCTTCTGCTAATTTCAATAAAGCATCTCTTATTTGTGGAGTTTGAAATCTTTTCGCTTTGATACTTTCAATACGACCTTCCCAACATGTTTGTGACAATGATTTAAGAGTTAGGTTGGGTATACTATCTTTGAAAACTTTTCATCGCTTAGTAGAAGAAGAAAAAAGTGAATATATACGGTGTACCACTCCAAAGAATAATATAGCTTTTGTACAAGAATTAGCCAGATCACAAAGTACCAAATTTAAATTGTGACAACCACATGGTGTATAGAATGATCTAGGATTTATATCCAGAAATTTTTTTTGTACTCCTTGGTGTTTACCCTTCATATTGGATCCGTTGTCATATCCTTGTCCTCTTAAGTTATCAATATCAAGTCCAATATTTTCTATCTCATTTATAATAACTTCAAAGAGACCTTTTCCACTTGTATCATCCACTTTTAAAAATTCAAAAAAAATATTCAGTAATTTTTATTGGAGTTGCTGAAATATCAACACTCCGCAATATAAAAGACATTTGTTCTTGATGACTTATATCTGGAGTGCAATCAAGTATGATTGAGAAATGCTGTGTTTCTTTGACTTTTTGAATAATTTTATTTCTAATTTTACTTGCTAACAAATTTATCAATTCATTCTGTATATTATGTCCAAGGTAATGATTATGAATTTCATCACGCTTAATTCGTCGAACATGTTCTTGCATGATTAGATCAAATTCCGCAATCATTTCAATTAGACTTAAAACATTTCCATTGTTTTCTTGGTATATTTTTTCATTTTCCCCCCTAAATGCCAAATTATTTTTTTCAAGTGTCTTTATCATAGCAATTATTCTTGTCAATACATTTTTCTAGTGCTCTCTATCTCTACTAATTTGTTCTTGAACATCTTTATATATTGTTTTATTTTTGTGCAATCTCATTTCTAAATCAATCCATGCACTCATATTAATAATATGCACATTCGTAGTTTCATGAGCTTTGAGTTTAGTACTAAGATTTCTCCAATCTCTAGTTCCTTCACTAGCTAGTTTACTGCTACAAGCACTAGAAGTTGTAGTAAATAACTTGCAACAAAAATAAAATACTTTATCCAAGTCTTTAGAATAAATTAACCATCTCCTTTCATGTCTTTCCCCGTTTTCCAACTTTTGGATATAATGTGTAGTAGAAAAATATCTTAGGAATTTATCCTTGGAAAAATCTATTTCTGTAATTCTAATTGGTCTTTTTTCTACTAATAGATCTCTCAACGTTGTATCTACATTAGTCCATTGACTAGGATCATATATGTTTTTAGGAGTGCAAGTATTCAATTCATTTAAAAGTTCTTGATTTTTTTGAGGATCTATGTCAGATTTCTCACTAGCTTCTTCTTTTTCTTGGATTCTATTATCATCTAACTCAACTAGATTATTAGCTTGTTCATTCAAAGAACATTCTCCCATATTTTCTAGTTTAGAGTTTTTAATACTTGATAAAAATTTGTCAAGTGCTCCTTTTTGGGATTGTATTAAAATTTTAATTTTTCTCTTTTTTTGAAGTTTTGCATAATCGGATTCATATTTTCTAGTAGACATATTTATACTCTAGTAAATAACAAAAACTACAGTATATCTATGAAATAAAAATATAAAAATGACAGAATTTACATTAAAAATATAGCAAAAGGTTAGAACATTAGAACCTGATTCAATTGATAAGTAGATTCCCAAATAACTTTTTAATGCTTTTGTGCTTGAAAACCTGGAAAAAAATACACAATTTTGTATATTCAATCCTCTTCTATCGAAAAAATATACAATTTTATATATACAATACTCTTCGACCGGCTCTTGCCATCAAAATAGATTTCTAAACGGAATTAAAATTTCAACTCTAAATTATAATAAGGAGCAGAAAAATTTCATTGTGAATATGAGTCTTATGAGATTACAGTCATATCATATTGTAAAATTTTAAGTAATAAAAAATCAATACATATTATAAAATTTTATTTTTTTCAATCCTCTCTTAATTGACTAATGACTACCAAAATCAGTCCTAAGTACAATATGTAGAAAAAAAATACTCGAAAAAAAAAAAAAACTTATCATTGAAAAAAAAAATTGTACTTACCAACTTTGTATTTTATTCCACAAAGAATGATCACAAGAGTCTTATAGTTCTTTTGACATGAAGGAGTAAGAATTAACATAAAGCTTTTTAGAAGTATTAAGTAATGTAGAAGAAGAAGAAAACAAGTATAATTTCAACTTTGTAGTAGTGAATAAATAAATATGAAAAAAAAGTCACTCCCAAAAAGGCAAAACAGTAAAAGTAACGATTCATATCCCCAATATGCAATAATGGTAAAAGTAAACGTTTATTTTCCTTTTCCATAACAAAATTATAGTTTTTCACATTAAATACTTAAATTTTCTAAAAGGAAAATAAATACATAAACCTAAAACTACTAAAAAGTGGGGCCTTCAAATTTATGGGACCTAAAGCCCTTGCCTTACCTGCTTTGGGCTTCAGCCACCTCGCGTACGCCCCTGATTACATGAAAGACTGAGACAGGATTTCTATCTAGCTAGGACAATCGACGGAGATAAATTCTTTATCAATTTGTGCTGTCTTTTGTTTCCTTATTTCATGGGATCAAAGCTAATGAATATATGTACAAATTCTCAAATCAAATTGATTACTAGTCTCTATTTTCTTGAAACTCAGAGGGTGTATTCTACCAAAAAATAAAGAGAGGGTATGTAATCGTTCAGAAAAGACGCAGGTTATTGGTTGAGTGTGCATTGAAAAAATAGTCACTACGATTTCTAATGATTTTCAAAAATCATTTGCTTGCAACTGGAATCTCCCCTACAACAGTACTCAATATGAGCCATCTATTTAACCGTAGCAGGTTATCCAATGGACTAATCAGATAATGCAAACGGACTAAAACAGTCATTATGGAATACTAAAAATGAAATGAAACAGGGGTTAGGCTTTGACTTCTATATCAATCATTTACTTATTTATTGCGTGATAAGCTAGATAGCTAATTTCAGTCACACATACTTGGTCCGCACTAAGCTCTATGTTGATTTTTCTTTTCTTTTTTTCTTTACATTAAAGCAGGAAACTAAAATCTAACATTTTCAAGTAATTTGTACTGTACGTGACTTTGTACAAAGGAAAACTCTTAAGTTGATTCCCTGTGGATGACTTCAACTAATAAGTAAATAGTGGACATTAAGAACGGATATAGGATGACATATGTAAAAGTTCTCTAATTTAAAATTAAAATAAAATGGAAAAGATTTTGCCAATACTTTACGAGGACAAAATAATCAGATAGCTATAACGTAACTGTTATATGTATTGAGGCAAACCTCTGGTTCTCTTAGTTTACCTTTTCTTTTCTGAGATTGTCAGTTCCTTCTGTAATTTGGATACTTAAGCTTTGATGTATGAAAACCAAATCGTTTTCACCAAGAATAATATACCCACTGCTCACACTTGTTTTATAATTCCCAGTAAATTTTCAATGGAGCACCAGTGGTCTAGTGGTAGAATAGTACCCTGCCACGGTACAGACCCGGGTTCGATTCCCGGCTGGTGCATTGTTTTTACTTTTGGTTTGTTTTCTGCATAATAAATAATTGGAGAAACGAGAAAAATGTAAAGCGCCCACCGTGGGGCTCGAACCCACGACCACAAGGTTAAGAGCCTTGCGCTCTACCAACTGAGCTAGACGGGCATCTTTGGTAGGCTGCTGTAATAGTAATATTTATTAATATTGACATTTCACAGCGAAAGCATAACATTTTAGCTTTCTACTCTAAGGAACTATGAATAAATGTACTGGTTAGTGCCATTGTGGATAAGTTAATCAAACCATTGTAACCAAGCGTCCAAGATTGCTTGTCATTTAATAATAACGAAACCCCTGTAGCTCAAAACTACTTTTTTGCATTTGTTTATCTTGTCTCCATTTTTAGGAACTTGATCCACCATGGGTTGATTTTCATCTTTTAATCATAAAATGAGATATCATTAACTGATTTGTTAAAATATAGTATGAATTTACGGGCTAAAAATACTTCTACCACTTTTTTTTTCTTCTTGATTATACGATATGTATAACAAACAGTTAAAACTCTAGAAAACAGTGGACCATCGTGTGAAAAACTGTTTTTGCATCAATCTCTTGACTACAATATATGCATTTTTCACTATTGAAGAGATGAATTGCAGCAAAAATACCCAACAAACAAAGTGAATATGAAAGACCAAGATATAAATTTCTACACCTACTAGCCAAAAGATTTTCCTCAAAAGTACTATTTTCTTGGGTGAGATATAAATTGGGAATCTGAGCCCTGTTAAGGCAGCACAGATTGCTCTACAAACTTTGATTCACTTAGGCGGAGAACTTGATAATAATAGAGGACTCTTTTCTTCAGGATATTTGATAAAAAGGGAAGCAGAAGCCAAGATCTCTTGTTTTAATCCCAATTTCTTCATAAGAAAATCCAACTCCCTTTTGATTGTAGCCTCTGAGAGAGTTAAACAGCAAGCTACATTCTGAACCATGGTAATTATTTCTTGATAACCATTCTAACCATGGTAATTATATCCTGGTTAACTCCTGAAAATTGCAAACCACTTCCTTAAAAGAGGCTCACTGATCTAAGCAAAGGCATAAACTCCATAGAAGAACATGGCTGAGTTACAATTGAGAAACCAAACTGAATGGAGAATATAGAACCTCCCATTTTTGTGGTTTCTCATTTTTCAGAACTAACGAATTAGGTATACTATTAGGTAATCACTAAAAGGTGATGGAACTGGGGTATTGAAAGATGGTCGAGGCACTGCTCCACGGCCCACGTGTTGTGTAGAATTAGATGGTCTACTATGATGGACTCTACCAAACTGACCCCTACCTCCAGATGAAGTACCACTAGAACTACCAGAACAACGAGGTCTCTTATCTCTTCCCATAGCCTCTCGTCCCTGGCTACGAATACACACTAATCCAAATGTTAACTGAAAGAAACAATATATTTTTGCTTTCTCTAGAAAACATGCAGGTTACTAGGAAGTAAATTAAGTTGGAAATGAAAAAATAAAAAGGCAATGATACAGAAATGATTTTTGGCAACACGGACTATATTTTTCAGAATACAAACTGAAAAAAGAAGAGCAAAAATTGTATTGGCCTACAACTGATAATTTTAAGAAGGAGCCACAGTTTTGTTGTTTGATTCATACAATTCAGGTATCCGATCCTTGTAAGGCAGCACAAAATACTCAATGAACTTCGACTCTGTTAGGCTCAGAACATAATAGAGATCCAACTTTCTCCTCTCAACCTTCTTTTCATCCAAAATTTTCAAGACTTGCACCCGAGGTACCACCTTTTTTTCCAAACTATAGACCAAAATTGAAGGATGAGAAGCCAAGTAAGCAGGTTCAAAACCGAGCTCCTTCATGTAAATATTCAATGCTTTCTTAATCTTAACCTCTGAGAGTGCTACACAATAAGGTAATTTCCTGAACATCACGAGTATATCATCATCAGACCATCCAAAACTCTTGAAAATTTCAATCTTCTTTTCCAACCTAGACTTCTTTTGTGAGGCTAACGTATGAAATCCATAAGGAAAAATAGGGGAGTTAAGCGGAACCTGAAAATCCTTCTCCACCCTATGCAATAAATCCTTAACCCACTCAGTCTTTTGTGTAATGTACCTAGGATTCCTAAGGACAAGTGTTTTTATTTTCACATCAGAAACACCACAGTTTCTCAACAACAATACATTAGACTCCATAATATGATAAGCACCAAAAGAAAGCAACCATGGAGTTCTCTTTACAGCCTTAACTACATTTTCATCAGTGCCCAAAGTTCTCCTAAGACAGTCAATAGTAGGTCTTAAATGAGTAACTAAACCTCTTTCAACAATTGTTGTATCTTTAGTGATTACATTCACCAGGTCCGACCCGGATAGCCCGAGGTCCATAAGGCACTGGAATTTGGGTTTTAGGGTTTTGGGAAAATCATAGAATAGCAATTTGGGTACGCTAGAAACTAATTTTTTCATCTGGGTGTTGTCCAAACCGGATTGTTTCAAGAATTTGAGGACTAAATCGGGATTTTTTAAGGATTTCCATGAAGTTACCTTGGAAGATGTAGAGGTTGCTTCTTCTTTGGAGAATCCTAGAGAATTAACCAGGTATTTTACCAAGAAATGTGTCGGGGCAGGAGCTGGGGTTGCACTTGTTGAATAGAAATATTGAGATACAGCTACTGCTTTGCCTCTGAACCTGACGAGCATATCGTTTAGCTATTGTTGTTAAGGATTTTGCAAGAGTAGAAAATACTTCTTCTACCATTAACATTAACAGAAGAGTTGATGGGGTTAACTGTTTAGATATTTAGTTCGAAAGAAATGGGTCTTAATCTGCAACCCACCCAGCCCGTTAAAATTGGGAGAAATTCAAAAATAACCAGATTTATAAGTGGTCAATCAAAAATAGCCACAACTTCAAAAGTAATCAAAATTTAGTCATTTTTCATGTAAAGATAAATCTAAACGAAAATATTGTTCAAAAGCCGGAAAATACTCCAGTATAATATGCTGGAATTCCAGTATAATATGCTGGAACTCCAGTATAATATATTGTAGTTCCAGCATAATATACTGGAAGTTCATACACAGGTGTTCCAATCTCTAATATATTATGCTGGAACTTTCCACGTATTGGAGTTCCAGCTTAATATGCTGAAAGTTCATACACAGGTGAACCGATCTCCAGTATATTATGCTGAAATTTTCTGTGTTGCAGCAAAATAATGGCTATTATTCAATGACTTTGCAAACGCTAGTTATTTTTGAATGACCAGTCCAAAAACTGGCTAGCTCGTGCGATTTTAACGTTAAAATTGTCTCAACTTGCACCACACACACGGGATAAATTCAAAAATAGCCAGATTTACAACTGGTCGTTCAAAAATAGCCCAATTTCAAAAGTAATCGAAATTTAGTCACTTTTCATCTAAAGATAAATCTGAGCGAAAACACTGTTCAAAACCCGAAAAATACGCCAGTATATTATACTGGAGTTCCAGCATAAGTATGCTTGAACTCCAGCATATTATACTGGAGTTCCAAGATAAGTATGCTGGAACTCCAGCATAATATGATGGAGTTCGAGCATAAGTACACTAGAACTCCAACATAATATACTGGAGTTTCAACAAGTATAATTGTCCAGTATAATATACTGGAGTTTGGAGCACCGGTGCTCCAAACTCCAGTATATTATACTGGACAATTATACTTGTTGAAACTCCAGTATATTATGCTGGACTGGTCTCTGTTGCAGCAAAATAGTGGCTATTTTTCATTAACTTCGTAAACGCTGGCTATTTTTGAATGGTCCGTCCGAAAACTGGCTATACCGTGCTATTTTTACCACACGCTGCTAACAATTCCACGAGCTAGCCACTTTTCAGACCATCTTTTAAAATAACCAATGTCTGAAAGATCATTAAAACGTCGTTACGTTTAATGCGGAAACACTATGACAGAAGATTTCCAAGTAAAAATCCAAAAGACTGTCTTGAATTTGAAGCTTTATTTTTTCTTGGCCCATCCCACATAGGCTTTAATCCGCCAATCACACCACCCAACCCTAATTAAGAATCCGAGAAGCACTATTATGGTAGGCCGTAATTGACTAATTGTCCTTAGGTATTAGTCAACTGTAGGTAAATGAACAATCATGGGGTCAACAAGAAGGAATTAGCTAGTTGACAGCAGGCGTACAAAATCAAGTCTAGAGACTTGAGTAGAACTACACAAAGAACTACATTAGTCAAGTATTTAGAAAACGGGAACATTTTTTTTTATGATTTATAATCACTAAAAGTTGAGAAAAATAAAATAAATTGATAGAGTTGTTCAATGTCTAGTTAATTTGATTCATATATTTTAATAAATCTGTTAATGTTATTTCTCTCTTTTTTTGCTTTATAAATAAATGAAGATCAACACAACTAAAGAAACACAACATCCCCATAATGGGACAAATTCCTAAAAAGGGAAAAAAGATACGTTCTCCGGTCTAAAATAAGTAATTTTTTGGATGTTTTCACACGGATTAAGAAATCCACCTTTTAACATTAATTAGCAATGGAATTGACCATATTAACCTTTATTATTTCACATAAACACTCCTAACACATATTCCAACACTATTTACTCCAAGGATAATGTAGAAAAAAAAATTAATTCATTCTTGAAATCTGGAAAAATCACTTATTTTGGACCACAAGAAAAAGGCCAAAAAATCACTTATTTTGGACCGGAGGGAGTAAAAAATGAAACACGTGTCTTTAGCTACAGGGGTTTGGTTATAGTTATTGTTGAATCTATTTTGACCAAGCAATCCTTGGACGCTTGGTTACAACTTACAATACATTCATTAACTCGACTCATCTTAGCTTACCAAAAATTGAACCAACCAGTACATCTATTCAGACTTCCTTAGAGCAGAAGCTAAAATGTTATGTTTCACTGGTAGAAATGGCAACAAGATTGAGGATAATAATAACCAATCTCAAAAGAACAGAACCTCTTTTCTCCAAATGTATACGTACAGAATTCGTGACTTTAATCAATTCACTGCTGCAGCTCGTACATTAGCAGTATTTTCAGGATCAAATACAAGGATAATACACAAATACAATTGTTTTTGCCTGCTTTAGTGCACTAGTTTCTACCAGGTTAACATTATGGTTCTGTGGGAAAAATAATTTTGTACACTGCCATTTTTACTGGCATTCTTTCGGTTGAATTATGAGAGTTTAGCTACATCTTACTGTAAAAGATTTTGGTTGTACAAAAAAAAAATTAAAGAAATTGCCGTGAACTCGCCTTTGACTTCTCGCCTTCACGGGTTGATACAGTCGCATCAATCTCCCTTCCTGCAACGCCCACTCATAAAATTTACAAACTGTCCCCTTTGGTAGGAGGCCTAGAGTAACCCCCCAGCACCAAATGGCTGTCTGCTCAATGACCTATCCCTACCAAATCCGAAGTACCCTACTGGAACAACCCAATATCTTGGACAACTAGACCTCTCCCGTGTATATATACTGTGTTCCAAATGCTGGATTCCCAGTAAAAGTGGCACGATTCATGTGTGAACTTCCCCGTGCAGTTTCCATGTAGCTACCCTGACTACCATTCGCAAATCCCTGAATCGGTACACCCGAAATCCTGTTTCCAGATGCTGCCCAACAATCAGCGGTCATAGCTTACAGTACTGTACTCCGGCTCATCGCTGAAGCTGCAGTTTCTTGGCTCGTGGTAGAGGGTTAGATACGTTGGACCCAGCTTCTCCCTGGGAAAAGGAAACATCAGCCGACTTTGTTTCTCCCTCGCTGCTAGAAGATGAACTCCCACTAGACCTCTTTAAAGGATCAAATACAACAGTCTGTGATGCCCCCGCTAGTTCATCTGTCAGAGAGGATTGACAAGGTAATTGAGCATCTTCAGTGGAGATCAAGGCATCACTATTTGCGGGATCAGGCGTGCGAGTCAGCTCCTCAATAGAGCTGAACCAGTCACTAGTGCACACAGGTATCATCTCCTCACTGCACCTCATGGCTGAGGTTGGTGAAGCCATACCACTTTGATTTTGGGATTCCATTGCATCGACTTCAGCTAATAGATCTGACACTGATTCCTCATCCAAAGTGCTGAACTCAATTAGCTCGTAAAAGGTTGCTCGCCAATCGGAACAGTTTGAGATTGGATGAGATGAGGAATTACAATCGAGTTGGTTGGCATCTGAAGTAGGTGCATCGACACGATCACACACTGCTTCAGCTGGTTTCAGTGAAGAATCAGATACAAGATCAGAGTCCACAGATGGTTTCACAGCTGGTGAACATCCACCCCATCCATTAGTTATTTCAGGAAGCTGGGCCCGACTGATCACTAGACTAGAAGCACTGCTCCAGCTAGGGCCTGAATGCTGAACAGTTAAACTAGAAGGAAAAGATTCTTTGTCCGCTGCTGCCTGCCCAACTGGAGCTTCGTCTTTCAAGTTTGGAGTAGGACTTGGTAAATCCTGGACATTTGAAGCACAAACTGGAACAACCGAACTAAAAGAAAGCAGCTTTTCAGCAGCCTGAGCTTCAACATCGGCATAGCTTGTTTGTGGGGTAGGACTGGGCAGATCTGGATAATTCTTGATACCTTTCTGTTCCAATGAATCACTTAACTCAGTAACTGAAGCAAAATTATATCCAGAATTTATGTTAACCGAACTTCTATTACTGGTTAAGGATCCCCAGTTCTGTCCAGACGACTGTCCTAAATGCCTCCGACTGTTGGATAGCATACTATGTTTGCGGCCATCAGATATTTGGGATATTGTGCTTCCACTTGAGTCCTGGACCATATGACTGGTACTGGACTGAAAAATTTCATGGCATCTTTTCCCATGTGGAGGATCTCCGTGCACATTCCCATGACTGGATGGAGGGACTGGACTGGATGGTCGGGGTTTGTAAGAATAAGAGTTATTCAAATCCAAAGATTTTGGAACAGATGAGGATAATCCACCCATCCTCGTAGTGTCGGTGTTACTATTAGAATGGTTGTTTGTAACACGGAGGTGCCAAGGTACCTCCCTCTCTCCACATTCTCTCCCTGTTCCAGTTGCACTTTTACACGCACCAGCACTACTGCTTACAGAAGCAGCACCAAGCTCCTGAGACTGGCGTGATATCTCATCATGCGGCCGAGGGGCTTTATGGAACAGCCCCTTTAATGCATTAGTTAAAAGTACTGAGTCATCATGCTCATCATCTGTCCATATCCTCATATCAGGTGGGAAAAGCCCCGACTTATTCCACTTCCTCAACTGCATCACTGAAAATGGCCCTTGTTTTCTACTACTAGGGTCACGGTAATGCCAAAGTTTGTCTGTTTCACTACTGTTAGTGGATGTTGAGTCCACTGTAGAGAGGCCCGCAATTGAAGTTTCAAATGCAGACCTATCCACAGCCAGACATGCAGTATCTTGATTTCTTAGCTTCTTCAAGATAGTATTTCCATGGGCCTCTCTTTTCTCACTCATTTCACATGGCATAGATCCCTCTTTAGCTGGATAAACAAAACAAATATTTTAATTAGCTCATGAAAAATCAACTTTTGAAAGACTTGCTAGTACAATTACTATCTCACCTTTCCTCCGTGAAGACATAAGCTTGTCTTGGCTTCTATTAAATCTAGTGTATCTTGGCCCCTCATATTCAACTGCGTTACATAACCACAGCAGTAAGCAATCTTTCGGAATGTGCACAATAAAAAGGAATCAGCAATAAGTTGGAAAAGAGTGACTGAAAACACAAT